ACCAACTTTTATATCCACTCATTGCCAAGCACTGCAAAGAAAACCACGGGTGGTGTTGACAGGCTTCATTACATCTTCACAGTTCTAACCTAAGCTGCTCTGCACTGACTCAGAGGGACCAGGACTCCATTCTTGACTTCTTCTTCAATCCTGCTTCTATTCCTGGGTCCTCCAATTACTTAGTAGTGTCTACATCTGCTTAGTAGCCAGTGTCAAAACTTACTCCCAGCTCCTCATCCTTGCTCTGTCATACCTCCTTCCCATCCACTAGCCTTCAGCAGCTCTCTTTCCTGTTTCAGATCCACCTCAGTTTCTGACTTGTGAGCCCTACTGGCATCACTCAAGCCATATTAGAAGCCCTCATCCCATTCTTCTAGTTCACTGCAACAGCCTTCTTACATAGCTCATGCTTCCATCTCTCCCCATCTCTAAGTCATGTCCATGTTTTTGTCTCTTTGTGTGTGTGTATAAAAGTCTTTATTTATTATAGACTGAAAGCTCATGTGGGGGAATAAAGAGAGAAGCAGAGAAAGAGTAACCCTCCATAGGGTATAGGCATGCTGTGAACTGTGATGACCTTCCTATAGTCTTTCAGCCTATTGGATCTTGGTCATTTGTGTGTGTGACTGGTGAGTTTCAGACTGGCTGGACGGGAGGTCTGAACTGCAATCACTATGTGGAATCTGGGTTTTCTTGAGCAGTGTATTACCACTGTGCCATGGAGTTATCCCTGCCTATTATACATTTTTTTAAGAGATTTTTGCTACAGGGTGTGTGTACTTGCCAGAGAGACAGAAAGAGAAAGAACAACAGAAAGCAAGAAATCACCCCTCCGGGGTGGATGGCCATGCTGCAACCCCTTCTCCTCCATTCTCCTCTCGGGATTTTAAACGCACACGCACACATGCCCAGTTTGAATTTCAAGCTGCCGGTCTGGGACTCAAACTGCAGTTTACTATATGGGACTTCAGTGCCTTTACCACTATGTCATCTGCTGGCCCCCTCCCTATTAGAATTTTAAAATATGAATTTAGTTATCCACTCTCTATAAATGTTTGATAACTCTTCAAAGCTAATCTTTCACCAAGGCCACAAGTTTATGCTCCAGATGTGCATCATGCCATACAGCAGCCACTAGTTACACGTGGCTATCTCAATTTATGTATATTAAAATGAAATGAAAGCAAAGATCTAGTTCCTCAGTCCCAGTAGCCACATGGACCCAAGTCATCCATAAGTGTCACCCCTTCTTGGACACCTTCTGTGCGCCTCTATAGCTAACCTGATTCTTGTCTCACTGCACTGTAACTGTTCCTGAGGATGTCTCTCCTCTCACCTGAACCCTTCAAGCACAGTGAGTGGCTGAATCCTAGTCGCCTTTATAGCACCCAACGCAGAGGGGACACCATTTATTCCTTTTTCTTTCCATTTAGAGTTACCCTTACTGGAAGGTTAAGCAGAGAAGAAACTCTATGTTACTTACAAGTTGTATCTTGATAAAAAGCAGAATGGAAATTCCATCATGTGCTTCCTCTTTTCAGGGACTGACTTGAGTGGCTCTCTGAGAATGGACCCTTCATGTCTCTACTCACCCTCCCTTCCAAGATCAGACTCAGTTCTTGTCTTCTAGAACTACAGGGAAACAGTCTGGCAAGAGCCACTGTTGTACCAGCTGATTTAAATTGAAATGTTTTCCCCAGATAAATGCGTGCTAAATAATACACCAGCTCTCCAGCCAAAGGGAAGTGACAGGCACTCTGTAAATAAAGGCACTTAGTTGCTGGTAAAGAGCTGTAAAGTGGTTCTGAGCTGATGTTTGCTGACCAGCAAGAAGCGACTTCACCTGCTTTATATAATTGTCACTGCAGTTTTGCCGGCTGTATATTAAAACTGCATCTCATAGACCCAACTGTCACATCGGATATACCATCCAGCACAGGGTCTGCCACCTTTTTCTGTAATTGTTTTTGACAACCAGCCATCACATCTCAGATCTTTTCAGAAAGTGTCTGGTCCCATTCCCTCTGCTGGGTCAGTTCTGACACCATGTGGGCTATAAAAGTGAATGTAAAAAGGGAAGAGAAGAGAAAGGAGAATAGGTTTTTGTTAGTCTACGAGGCCTAACAACACGCAAGGAGAGTATCTGATGAAGGCTCTATGTTAAGGCATCTTTTTCATATTAAATTGCATCATATTAAAAAACTTCCCATAAGGTTGCACGAACATTCTGGCCCAAGAGTACATTTGTCTCGAGTTCACATTTCTGTCCAGCTAGGTACTGGAGAGATCATAACATAGCTCTCCAGACAAAGGAGAGGATGGATTTTCATAAAGGACTACACATTCAAAGAGATGAAAGTTGAGGTGGCAATGGCAAGGTATCTATGCAGTTATTACTCAGGGGAAGTTTGATTCATTTCCCCAAATGGTAAGAGTAACATGTAATCCTTTCATACTCTGTAATTCTGAGCCTCTTGGAGCTTTGTTGTACCAAAGGTCTGGATGAAGAGTGACGAAGGAATCTGAAGCCATGGGCCAGCTCTGTGGTGCAGCAGTGATGCGCTGCCCAAGAGATGTTGGATTCACATAAAAACATCATGAGTTCAGCTTCCTGGTCAACCTGTACATTCTAGGCACATGCGCTCATGACACTGGCTGAGACCAGTGGGGATCATGGCATGAGACCTTGTCAAGGGTGTTTGTCTCACTTACTCTCTCTGTCTCTCATTCTTGTGACAGAAATATATACATTTTTTAAAAATTATCTGAGGCCAAAGGGCACCCCAGTTGGGCAAAAGAGTCACATAGAAGAAGAGCAGTGGAGGGAGTTTGCACATATGACCCCATGGGCTGAGAGGAGCCCAAGAAGTGGGGTGCAGGGTCAGCAGCCAGAGGTGAGCAGTGGGGAAGAAGTGATTTCTCTGTGTTGTGGGCCACAGTGCTCACCATTGTTAATGTGCAGATTTGTTGTGCCCTAAAGCAGAGTGTATGAGTTACCTTGGGATCTTGTTAGAATGCAGATTCTGGTCCAGCAGGGCTTGGACATGCCGTGAAGGTCTGCATTTCTAACAAGCTTCCCTGGTAAGGTGTAGACTGGGGTAAGGGTAACGAGGACACATATTGAAGAGGAGCTTAAGGGTAGTACCCAAACGCCCGCTGGTTACTTTTGCCTCCTAGAAGATCACGTCCTTTCTCCCCTGGCTGCCTGGGCAGGCTGGAGGGCAGGTAGGCTCTGCCTTCTTGGGATGCAGCTATTAGTACAAGGTCAGGAACTCTCCGAGGGTCTTGGCATACTGCTCACCTGCAGGCACAGCTGAGCAAGTGGGTACCAAGGTTTAGATTTGTGGGTGCTAGGGAGGATGGTGAAATGGAAAGGTCAAAAGTGGGCTTTAGGCTCCTTTTTCTGTCAGAAGGACAGAAATCATTTCATGAGCAATGCCAAGCAGAAGGTTCTCCTGAAGTTGACCAGAAGCTCCTGTGGATTTCAAATCGTTTGAGAAAGTCCCAATCCCTCCTCTCAGTCCCCAGCAGCAAAAACACTGATTCTTAGACACCTTGCCTGAGAGCTGCTTTGAACAGCTGCAGCTGCCTCCAAAAAATCAAGGCTA